TCCACACTATGCACTGACACCACACAGTAACAGCAACTTACTCCACACTATGCACTGACACCACACAGTAACAGCAACTTACTCCACACTATGCACTGACACCACACAGTAACTGCAACTTACTCCACACTATGCACTGACACTTTACCTATTTATTATTTATTGCTGCTGCACTACTTTGTCTTCTGTGTATTATGTCTTATGTTTTGTCTGTGAGGGAGGGGTTTTCAAGTAAGAATTTCATTGTGCTCTGTACGCTGTACTTTGTACATATGACAATAAACTTCAAACTCAAACTCAGAAGTGACAATATTAATAAAAAAAAAGTTTAATCAAACACATAAAGCAGTGGCCATGAAGTGATATTTACCTTTCAGTTTACATTATTTTAGTTTACATGTAACCAAACAGTAATGAAAAGTTGGAATTACCAACCAACAACCCAACAACTACAGCACCTACTTAAGAATTCAAACTTTTAAAATATTCACAGTGATTAAGCATGGAGACTGTTGGTAAGAAGCCAGCTTCCTACTTCTGAATCACACTGTGACTTTCATGTGACCTTTACAAAAATAATAGTGCCAGTTGATTTAATATTTTCATGTTACACTAAACAACAAGTTACTGACCATGAAGTGGTGTTTACTTTTCATTTTACACCAAACACTGGAGGTCACCATGAGAGGATTTAGATACGTTATCTTTGAAAAACCCAGGATACAATTTACAGTCCTCTGCCATAGAAATCAAAGAATACAAACAGTTACATACATGTATATCATGCAAGGACAATGTAAGAAACTAGATACTGTCAGAACAACAACAATGTATTTCTTGAATGGCCCCGTCACCTTCTCCCTCCTCCTAATGCTTAGTCCCCCCACACCCCCAACCACTACAATTTCTAGCCCCCCGATGACACTCCAAAAAAGTCTTCATTAAAAGCCCAACGTTACGTGTCTCAATGCAATCAGGTTCACCGGATCTGTGTCTGATCTTTCATATGCTACACTGTTTATATTTTGGTGCGATCTGTATCAAAATGAAAAAGGCTTCAGAATATCACCTATACAATGTTCTGGGGAAGTTTCAAAAAGATCCATCAAACACTTTTAAAGTTAGACTGTTCACAATTGAAATATCTTCTGCAGTCACCCTTCCCTTTGTTACTACTAAGCATTGTGGTTTCAATTTTAGTTACATTCGATTTCTCTTATTGTCATCTTATCGTGCACTTTCGTACAATCAAAAATTAAGTTCAGTTTCTCCTAGACCAACAGCGTAAATAGAAAAATTTGACACACGATACACATACAACCCATATCCATGGTGACCCATGGTGCATTTGGAGAGGTTAGCAACATGAAAATCTGTTTTAGCAGCATATCTTTCATAACATGTTATAAGGATGTAGCAGCATGCACTGTTAAATAAACTATTTTTTTATCTAAATGTCTTATTGAGGTTTTGTAAATGATTAGTTAATATTTAACTAAAGGCTTATGTATGTGGTATAACTGAACAAAAGATGTTGACCAAAACATAGACAATATAGGGTAGGTTAGCACAGAACTGCATTTTTTCCCTTTCTGTGTATTTTTATTTTTTATACTGTAATCTTTTTCTGTATTTTACTTTCATAATTTTGAACCATATTGGATATTGCGTTGATCATTAGCAGGGTCGGCTGAACTTGACAGGCTCGTCCATCCCTGTCCTATGTGTTTGGTCCCTGTTTGGCCAGCAGGTGTTGCTGGCCATCCTGTTCCCTCCTCTGTCTTAGTCCTAAATCACTGTTTTTTTTCCCTGGACCACCACATAACTCAATTGTCTGAGACGTAATCCTCTGGTCATACGTTTGAGGCTGGCTTTACCTTAAACTTATCTGTTTTGCATTTATTGAATTTTATGTTCCCCGGTGTTTTCTATTTGTTTCTTTGTCATATGTTTGCCCTGCTTCTGTCTTGTTCACTTTTGGTCCTGTATGTCTTTTTCTTCCTTGTTACTTATCCTAGTGTAGCATTCCAGGTTTGTGGTTTCTATTTCCCTAGTTCTGTGCTTGTTATTATCAGTTACTCCATCTATTACCTGTTTCCCAGTGCTAGTGTTTGTTAATTGTTCCATCTGTTGCTCATTGTCCTGTGCCCTCGGTGATTGGTTGTCTTATGTTCCACACCTGCCCTCTCGTTAGCCCAGTTGTTTATGTGTATTTAAGTGCCTGTTTCTGCTCTGTTCTCTAGTTTGTCATTGTTCATAGTACTATGTGTTACTTCTGATTTTTTTTCTAGTCCTGCTCCATGGATGCTGTGGGATTTAATAGAATTATAAAGAACATACAATGAATAGAGGAAAAGGAGAA